GTTGCAAACTTCTGAACCCTTTCCAGTTCCTTATATGCTTCTTCAGATGGGGACTCCATGATGAGGCGGCATACTCTAAGACTGGTCTCACGTACGCAGTGTAAAGCGCCCTAAATGCCTCCTTTTATTAAATGTATGTGTGTGTACTCACCTAATTGTACTCATAATTTATGAATAAAAATAAAAATATGATTTATGAAAATAAAAAGTATTCAGAGGAGACCTTGTGGTTTCTCACTGAACACTAATATTATCTTCTCCTACCACCCCCATTCTTTTGTATGTACACATATATATTTACTTTATTTGAACTTTGTTACAAAAAAGGAGTTACATATGGGTTACAAAGATGGTTATCATAGGTTGTCGAGTTCCTCCAGCTCCTCAGATGGCGGGCAGGAAACCTGGATGCAGTGCGCATTTCCCCTCTGTATCGCCACACTGAGGCGCTGGAAAAGATATATCTATAAATATATATATATTATATATATATATATATTATATATATATATATATATATATATATATATATATATATATATATATATATATATATATCAGTTTCCTTTAAACAAAAAGTGAAGGATATATCCGAATGCGTCGTTTATTTCCCGTTCGTCGTCATAACTTTTATCATTCAGAGTGAAGTGTAGCTACTGGAAATTCTGCCATTTAATGCGCGACAAAAAAAAAAGAGTTAGTGTCGCTTGTTGCATCAGAGTGGCGGATATTACTGGGTGTGGAGCAGGTGCTTTTTTGTTGCAAGTTTATGCGGGATAACGTATGCATGCGCATGTTGCGTATGCGCATGTGTTGTGTACGCATGCGTGTGGGTATGCTTACGCTGTGCTTACTGGCACTGTACCTGAGCGTGTATGTGTGTGTGTGTGTACTCACCTATTTGTGCCTGCAAGATCGAGAATTGACTCTTAGATCCCGCCTGTACGTGTGTGTGTGTGTGTGTGTGTGTGTGTGTGTGTGTGTGTGTGTGTGTGTGTGTGTGTGTGTGTGTGTGTGTGTGTGTGTGTGTGTGTGTGTGTGTGTGTGTGTGTGTGTGTGTGTGTGTGTGTGTGTGTGTGTGTGTGTGTGTGTGTGTGTGTGTGTGTGTGTGTGTGTGAGTGTGTGTGTGTCGTCGTCGTCGTCGTCGTCGTGTGGTTTAATGAAATTGAGTTTTCATTAAACCGAGTTTTTCAGAAACTTTTCACATTAAAAGTATTCTACAAACGTCAATTGCGTGCAGCTGCACTCGGCACTGCAGCTCACTTGTGCATGAGTGTGCAACTGTGGCCATACTTGCCACTTGCTTGTGCATGAGTGTGCAACTGTGGCCATACTCACCACTTGTTTGTGCTTGTGAGCAGCTACACGGATCCTGGTGTGTCTGGAGAAGTCTTCGTTACTTAGTGTGTAAAGCCAAGACACAGAATTCCTGATGAGACAATGATAGTGTTGGTTCACAGGTTCTCACGAGATGGGTTGAGAGCTGGTGGTCCTTACTACTCGCGTCCTCCTGCTTGTTTAGAACTTTAGAGAGACAGGTCCAATAAAAGCCATTGAATGATTTACCAGCTTATCTAGATATTATTTTTGTTCCCCTTAGGGTATAAACAGAGGAATGATAATCAGTGTTCAATTGTAATACACACAAGATGTAAGTCTAGTAATTAGGTTCATTAATTCTATGAGGTAATTACACAATCTTGCATTTGTGTTCAACGGAGCAGAACTAATTAATTATTTATTATATTTTTGTCTTTATCATTGGCTAAGGATTTGCAAACAATTATCAGGTATTCGTCACTCATTCGTCCCCTGGCGACTAATAACGACTACTTCAGCTAACGGAACTTTTGTTTACGTTTACAGATGTGTGTGTCCCCAGGGGTCGGTGGGGCCCCGGTGCAAGGTGCTGGCGCGCACGTTCTCTGGGGCCGGCTGGGCTTGGGTGCGTCCCTTGCCTCCGTGTCTGCCTCTCACCATCTCCTTCAGGGTCCTCACGCGGCGCTCCCACGCCCTCCTCCTCTTCTCTGGTCCTCTGGCGCCCCATCCACGCCGCCCACACTCTCCGCCCACGCCCATGCTGGCCGTGCAGCTCTGGGAAGGGCGGCCGCAGGTCGTGCTGGAAGGCGGAGGGTCGCCACTTAAACTTGAGGTGAACACGACGGTGAACGACGGTGACTGGCACCTTCTACACCTTCACCTCAACGCCCAGGTATGCCAGCCTCCTCTTCCATTCTGCCCTACGTCGAGTTGGTTTCCTCTACATATTTCTAATGATTACCAGTAATTAACAAGAGAGTTAAGCAGATGATCTGGGCTTCTGTCCTGGGACACGACAGTAGACACAGACACGTCTCTACAACTCCAGCAGAGGCATTATTATAAAGATATAAAACTGCCATTCTTAATCAAAGTACTGTCGTTGGCCTCAAAATTGTACCATTTTGACTCAAAAGTGCCGCGTATTTCGTCTGAATACTGCCAGATTCATCGAAGTAATATCGCAAGAAAGTGATCTCATTGGTTTTAATATCATATTTGTCTGGATACTTCCACCCAAATCCACGTACTGAGAGTGAACTCGTGACTGTCATATTAGTTACAAAAGATTCAGAGGAAGTAAAACACCAACACACCATTAGAGCTGTGCGATGCTAGCGGTAATTCAAGGCTGAATGAAAGGTGATCAAGACAATGAAAGTCGCTGGTATAAAAATTTATGTCTGTTCAACCTATTTTGAAGTGAATGTGCGATGTTTATGTTCAATGTCAACAATGAAGCCGATTTCAATGTACAGAAGTCATCCAATTGTTGGCATGCATACACGCATGTATACACTGGCATGCATGCATGTTGGCATGCATATATCGTTCATTATTTGCCAAATATCGTTCATTACTGTTATTGCCATATTAATCTTCCGGATAATCGTGTGGGCGTCGAGGTATTATTAAGTTCGCCCAGATTGTGACGTGTCGTACAGCTCCAGCTTCCATATTCCTCCAAGTGTTGCAGCATTCTTACATACGTGTTCTCTCGATTTTGTCACTCTCAAAAAATACAACTATTCTGCCTAACCCAAGCCACCCACCTAACCTATCGAGGCCAATGCATGACAAGCTTAAATTTTACAGGGCTTAAATTTTGTCTTATGGGTCTCATTTTTAACGGATTGGTCGATTCCGCTAAAATTGTTACGCGTTAAGAGACAGAAGGGTGGATATACACTATTAATTGCGTCTCTTAGTACGGCTTCGTTCTCGATTCACAGCCGGGGATACTGGGGTCGATTCCCGGGGGGGGGACAGAAATGGTTGGGCACGTTTCATATCACCTCTGTTTACCTAACAGTACCCAGGAGTTAGGCAATTGTTGTGGGGTTGCATCCTGCAGAGAGTCAGTAGTATCACTTTGTTGTTGCTGTCATAGAGTCAGCTACTCAGAACAAAAAGTTCCAAGTAACACAAGCTATGGTTAGCCCGTAAGTGGAGGCTCTTTGGAGCCATTATCTGTATTAATAGCTGATACTGGAGATCTGGGGATGGGGTCCATGGACGCGTCAATCCAATCCAAGACCAGGACTGCAGATGATGATTGATGAAGATTAAGCCACCCTAAGGGTGGCACGGGGCATGAATAGGCCGGAAATGTAGGCTCTTTCTTGCCATTACCAGTACCAATAGCTCGACCCCTATCGCTGATGTTGTTGTTGTTGTTGTTATAGATTCAGCTACTCGGAAGAAAGAGTTCCAAGTAGCACGGGCTATGGTGAGCCCGTAGTGGACTTACCTGGCACAGGAGTGGGGCTGTAACTGTGGACCCCGGTCAGAGCCTAATGTATATATACATACTAGGGGGATGGGGGTTGCCCGGCGTTGCCCAGGGTCTCTCTCCCCTCTTCGTTCTCCCCCCCCCCTCTGGCTCCTTTCCCCCTTGCTTCTCCCCCTCTCTATAAGCACTGGAACAAATTATAGGTCTCAGATGTTTTGCTTTCCTGTCTCTTCCATTTTACTTTTTTTCAATAAGAACTCCACGCTAATAATAAATTTATGTATATTATATATATCACTAACTATAACCCCTCAGAGGATTCGAACCCAGGCCGCCCAAAGGTGTCTCCCCGTCAACAGTTCAGGTCCTCTGACCAATGCTCCAGCAATAGACGATCGCTGATAAAGTGGTCAGAAGGATCATAGAGTTAACGTGATATAGGTGCCTGGGGGGGGAACAACAATTCAAGCCTTGGCTTCCTCGACCAAACGAATTATATAACAACTTATATACCACTTGGGGTGAGTGGCCGCTATATAGTGTCTCAGGTGGTCAAGATCAACAACCCCGGACGGTAGTTTTCGCCAGAGTCCAGCTGCAACTCGTCCCATTTACTGCGTCTGAAACTAGACTCGCGAGCCGTTGCCTGAAGCCAGTCTGGGACACAGGCGTCGTGGTGAGTACACTCAGCCCCACCTGCGGCCCAGCGGGATGGCGTCTGAATACTGGGGCGACCAACACCCAGCTAGTGTATGTCCACTCGCAGTGCCAGAGTGACAACTGTGTTCTCGATCTTAACTTTGCACACATTCAGGAATTATTATTGACTGTTTTTTGAGGTATTTTGAGGTATATATATATATATATATATATATATATATATATATATATGTCGTACCTAGTAGCCAGAACTCACTTTTTGGCCTACTATTCAAGGCCCGATTTGCCTAATAAGCCAAGTTTTCCTGAATTAATATATTTTTTCTAATTTTTTCCTTATGAAATGATAAAGCTACCCATTTCATTATGTATGAGGTCAATTTTTTTTTATTGGAGTTAAAATTAACGTAGATATATGACCGAACCTAACCAACCCTACCTAACCTAACCTAACCTATCTTTATAGGTTAGGTTTGGTTAGGTAGCCGAAAAAGTTAGGTTAGGTTAGGTTAGGTAGGTTAGGTAGTCGAAAAATAATTAATTCATGAAAACTTGGCTTACTAGGCAAATCGGGCCTTGCATAGTAGGCTGAGAAGTGCGTTCTGGCTACTAGGTACGACATATATATATATATATATATATATATATATATATATATATATATATATATATATATATATATATATATATATATATATATATATATATATATATATATATATATATATATATGAACCCACAATATAATATTTAATTTTAATTTACTGTTTTGGTACTTATTTAATTCAAGAACTTACGAATATGTTATTTATTATTCTGGTTGTTTCTCAGGTACTGCACAATGACAATTTTTTTTTGTTGGGGGAGGAAGGGGGGGGGGAGAGGGGCATTGCGGGGGATGTGTGTATTGGAGGAGGGGATGGTGGGGTAGGGGGGAGGGTAGTCAATTAAATGGTAAATAAACCAACCGAGTCCCATTACACGATGTCTATTGCCATTTTTCACGGTTTGACGTACGTCAATTTTCAAGTGGTTTGGCTCTAACCCCTAGGCGTATGAACCGTGGCAACCGGCCACAATTACAGGGGCCGAGGCTTGTTAGTCTCGGCCCCCCTTGATGACAGAAGTATCATCAATATTGCGGTGCCTTTAATTTCACTAATGCACAGTAATTGTGACGATGTGGTCGTTTATGTTAACATTTCGGTTTTTCAATGGCGAGGACAGGTTGATCAACACCGAATATTGGCACTGCAATTATCAACTATAATTGATGAATAATTCATGACAAGGATTTAATTGTCCACTTGCTATATACGCTCCAATGGTCACTAGTCCAGGAAGACAATGAACAATTTGTAACAAAATTTAGGTCATGAACACAGTAATGTGTAACAAGATAGCGTGTAAGAGAACATATAACATGCACCAAGATAATGTGTAGGAGAACAGATAACATGCACCAACATAAAGTGTAGGAGAAGAGATAACATGCACCAAGATAATGTGTAAGAGAACAGATAACATCCAACACACTTGATAGCGTGAAAAAGGTTCCTTGTGCTGTTTGACGTTATGCTGTCTGTTGCGTGTTATCTGTTCTATGTGTGTGTGTGTGTGATGAGAGAGAGAAAAGCTGCAGGTTCGCCATAGATCACTAAGAACTCTAAATGACCCGACCAGGGTTCGAACCCATGACGTTCAGGATCACCCCCAAACGAATGTTAGATGTTCTTCATCTAGGGAGGTGGTGGTGGTTGTTCTTTTATATTCAGCAACACGCAACAAAATATCCGTGTAGCACGGGGCTACTTAGTGAGCCCGTCACACCTAGGAAGGTGTTGCTTTAATTATATATCTACAGTGTCAAGTGTGTGTGTTTTAGTGCTTAAGCTCCTATGTTGACCAGACCACACACACTAGAAGGTGACGACGACGACGTTTCGGTCCGTCCTGGATCATTCTCAAGTCGATTCTCAATCCTGGACCATTGTCAATCGACTTGAGAATGGTCCAGGACGGACCGAAACGTCGTCGTCCCTTCACCTTCTAGTGTGTGTGGTCTGGTCAACATACTTCAGCCACATTATTGTGACTCCTCGCCTGCTTAAGCTCCTATGCTTTATGTATGGTAGGTATGGCGAGGCTTCAGGTTTGAAACAGCACGAAAGCAGGACTGCTTCTTCGTTTCTTACAAAGATATTCCGTTTTTTGCCTTTACAACATTGCCAAATTGACTCAGAACAAATCGGCAGACTTCAAATAAGGAGGGGAGAGCAGTATACCTCGGAATATAGCCGCAAGTAACAGTTTACTTCAAATTTAGCAAGAGAGTTACAGCTAAACGTGCAACAACAGGTGAAATTGTTTAAGCGTTTAAGTGTTTAAGCCTTTAAGAGTTTAAGCATTTAAGCGTTTATTTATCTAAGCGTTTTGGTAAATGTTTAAGTGTTTAAACGTTTAAGTAAGTGTTTAAGCGTTTAAGTAAGTGTTTAAGCGTTTAAGTATATGTTTAAGCGTTTAAGTAAGTGTTTAAGCGTTTAAGTGAGTGTTTAAGCATTTAAGTCAGTGTTTAAGCGTTTAAGTAAATGTTTAAGCGTTTAAGTAAATGTTTAAGCGTTTAAGTAAGTGCTAAAGCGTCTAAGCAAGTGTTTAAGCGTTTAAGTAAGTGTTTAAGCGTTTAAGTAAGTGTTTAAGCGTTTAAGTAAGTGTTTAAGCGTTTAAGTAAGTGTTTAAGCGTTTAAGCGTGTGTGACGTTCCTAGGGTGTGTCGGTAATGGTGGACCTGTGTGGCCGAGGCTGGCACGATCGCTCTTCCCACGACTCCCACTGTATAACGCGGGCCGAGTGGGTCCTCCCCACGGGTGGGGAGGCGTGGGCGGGCTCGCCACCCCTGCAGGTGGGCGGCCTGGCCCACGCGCCCCCGCGCCCTGATGATCACGGCTGGGTGGAGGCGCCCACGGCCCGCCCTCTGGAGGGCTGTGTGTCACATCTCACCCTCAATGGTCAGGTGAGAACATGATGTTGCTATTGTTGTTGTTCTATGGACCTGTGGCATAGAATTTGATTTTAAAATTATAGTATATATATATATTTTGCATTCGTTGGCTATAGTAAACCTCTATATCACTTTGGGACTATGTTCTCAATGCGACACGCTCCTAGATGGGGGCTACGGGGCTGTATAAGAGGCTATAGGATAAGAGGCTGTATAAGAGGCTCTGCTATAACACCGGAGGCGGGTAAGAAGATGAATTAACTGACTGTCCTGCAGCGTCGTTGCAGCTGGTGGATCTGGGCGAGCCGGCCTACAGCCAGGGTAGTGTGGGCGGCTGCCACCCTCAAGACGCAGCGTGCCCGGGCGGCCTAGGTGGGTGTGGGCGTCGCGGCCAGTGTGTGGGCGGCTTGCTACACCCGCAGTGCGAGTGCGACCCCGGCTGGTCAGGTCTGGGCTGTGCCACCCCAACCACGCCCGCTGCTCTGGGCAAGTCGTCCTACATGAAGGTGGCGCTGTCGTTCACCCCGGCGCCGCGGGTCGTGACGGTGCAGCTGCGGGTGAGGACCCGGGGCCCTCGAAATGGGCTTTTGCTGCGCCTGGCAGCTCACCACCGCTCTGCTGCCTTCACTCTACATGTAAGTCTTGCGTTCCTATTCTACGCTTGCTACGTACTCACGCTACAACACTGAAAATATTTAAGTTTCCCATAAAAATATAGCTCCAACATTTAATAAAAGTGTTGTAATTCTGATGTTTCTCCCAGTTGCGTGCGGGCGTGGCGTGTGTGTCAGTATCAGGGGCGGGATGGGCGACGCGGGCGGCCTGCGTGGAGGGGCGGCCTGTGGGCGACGGCGCCTGGCACACCATCGTCGCAGAACGTCACGGACACAACCTGGCGGTGAGCGTCGACGACGGCGACGGCTGGAGGAGGAACGAGTCGCTGGTGTCGCTACTGCAGGGCCCCGGTGCCAGGGGCGTCAGGGTCTCGCCGGGGCCGCTGGAGGTCGACAAACATGACGGAGTGACGGTGGGAGGCATGCCGGAGTTCGCAGGAGTGAGCCTCGTTACCGTCCACGAAGACCTCAGCGACAGTGAGTATATACTAGAACCGCCCATATTTTGACGTAGGAACGCGCATTGGTTCCTCGTTTACCCTAGCCGGGGTGGCGAACAACTCGGCCCGTTCTCATGATTTGCCAACACGTACAAAATCCAACCGCTTAACCGAACAAGAACGGCACGAACCCAAGCAACCCCTCTATCACTCTGATGCATGGAAAACGTGTATTTGAGAGCCGGTACTTTCATATTAGGTTGCATTTGTAAAGTTGGTTACCATAACATCCAACACGCCATCCATTAGTTCAGAGGGCGGGCTGTAAGAAATTAGAATTTCCGTGCACACCCCCGATAATATTTTGTTTAATAAATCGTTTTTGTTACAAGAGCAATAATTGACACTTAGACCTCGCGAGAATCTTTAGGCTGCTGGATATTTATATTTATATATTTTTTGTTTATAATATATATGTATTTAAAAAATACAATTAACTTTAAAACGTAGATATATTTTTCTAACTTAATCAAGCAGCGAACACCATGTCACCACTACCCAAGCTGCTGGGACGGTCGCCCAGCCGTTTCAGCAGCCCTGGGAAGCTGGTCCCAGCCACGACGTCTTTCCTGTACTATCAGGGAGACACGAGGTAGCCCTGGTCGTAGCCCTGGTCGTAGGGTAGGGGGCAAGATCAGGGCCTCAATAATGCATGCAACGGAAAGACGTATGTAAGCCAACAACAGGGAATCCAAGCATAAAGACAGCTCAAATTGGGGAACATAAGTGTTAGTAAGAGAGCCACGAGGACGTTATTTGCGAGTAACTAGGCTTGGGGAAAGCCAAGTCGGAAAATGTCACAATTTCGAAAGCTAGACATGACATTAACTAATGATCAATCCAAGCGTTAACGGGTCGTGTACAGGCCAGTCACACACACACACTCACTTGTAACGACCTCTGGCTTTAGTGAGGTTGCCGCAGGGATGTCAAGCGAGTAAAGCTCATCCTAAAGAGCCCCACAATAAGCTCTTCCGAGCTGAATATTAAAAAGCTAAATAAAAAATGAGTATGCGGAAGAGCTTCAAAGTGATACAAATGACAAGGCGCTTCGAATCAGATAATTCACATTCGTGTTGCAAGATGCTGAAAGCTGGTCTTGTGGTCTAGGACGCTCTCCACTCTAGTCTACAACGCTCTAGTCTTGTCTTGGTAGCGTTAATGGTAAAAGAGTAGTGAGCCAACCTCTTGAGTTGACGTGGCCCTCTTGTGGCGAGGGGCGGCGAGGGAGCCACGTGGTCCACACCTCCCTCTTGTCGGATCATCTTTAAGCGCATCCATCTTCTCCACGCCATGCTCCGTGTCGCTAACCTGTGTTTGCTTCTTGTGTTTCGTATCTTTCCCTTCACTCTTTCTTATCCAGTTTCTCCTGCTACAACACCCTGTTTTCTTCTTTCCCGTACATCTCTTCCTTTCGTTCTTCTTTTGTTTTTCCTTTTCTTCCAATTTCATTACTGATGTTTTTGCATTAAAAAATGCCTTGGAATTTTAATCCATCGTGATCACTTTAATACAAAGAATGAATACGAAATCATCCCTCGTCTTGGTCGCCCAGCCACTTGGGCTGAACGGTAGAATGACAGTCTCGCTTCATGCAGGTCGGCGTTCAATCCCCGACCATCCTAGTGGTTGGGCACCATTCCTTGAACCCCCCCGTCCCATCCCAAATCCTTATCCTGATCTCTTCCAAGTGTTATATAGCAGCAATAGCTTGGAGCATTTTACTGATCGTTTCCTTCCAGAGCTAGTCTCGCTAGCTCTGGTCAAAGATCTTGGGGAGTCTTGTGAGCTTAAATAGCGAAGGTAATTACTATCTCAGTTTGGCTAACGGTGTCTCAAATGTGAGACTTGAGTCTAGAAAGGGATTTTGAGTCTACCCTATTATTACGCTGTGCTCGTTCTAAGCTTTGCTACGACCCCAAAAGACTCGTTTATAAATTTTATCATGCCGTTAATTTAAAATTAACAATTTATCAAATGTTAATTAATATGTTGGCATACTGTGCATATTTAGGCTTAGGTTTGGTTATGTTAGGTGGTATGTCTGTTGGCAATTATTTGCGTTGGTCATACGCGGGTGAAGCATTTATGGTGATAATTGGGATTCGAACAGAAGTCGTCAGCGAAGCACCGTTAGAGAAATGTTCGAAAGTCGTCAGTTGTGAGACGTGTGAAGAGTTTCTCGTTCGTAAAAAGGTGCATAGGTGGCTGCATAGAATGCCCATTTGTCCTTTGTTGGTGAGGACGGCTGTGTTGAGGCCGGGCTGTGTTGAGGACGGGCTGTGTTGAGGACGGGCTGTGTTGAGGACGGGCTGTGTTGAGGACGGACTGTGTTGAGGACGGACTGTGTTGAGGACGGGCTGTGTTGAGGACGGGCTGCGTTGAGGACGGGCTGTGTTGAGGACGGGCTGCGTTGAGGACGGGCTGTGTTGAGGACGGGCTGTGTTGAGGACGGGCTGTGTTGAGGACGGGCTGCGTTGAGGACGGGCTGTGTTGAGGACGGGCTGCGTTGAGGACGGGCTGTGTTGAGGACGGGCTGCGTTGAGGACGGGCTGTGTTGAGGACGGGCTGTGTTGAGGACGGACTGTGTTGAGGCCGGGCTGTGTTGAGGACGGGCTGTGTTGAGGACGGACTGTGTTGAGGACGGACTGTGTTGAGGACGGGCTGTGTTGAGGACGGACTGTGTTGAGGACGGACTGTGTTGAGGACGGGCTGTGTTGAGGACGGGCTGTGTTGAGGACGGGCTGTGTTGAGGACGGGCTGTGTTGAGGACGGGCTGTGTTGAGGACGGGCTGTGTTGAGGACGGGCTGTGTTGAGGACGGGCTGCGTTGAGGACGGGCTGTGTTGAGGACGGGCTGTGTTGAGGACGGGCTGTGTTGAGGACGGGCTGCGTTGAGGACGGGCTGTGTTGAGGACGGGCTGCGTTGAGGACGGGCTGTGTTGAGGACGGACTGTGTTGAGGACGGACTGCTATTACACACGACTCACAACTGATTGTCATAAGTCTTGCATTGGAATATCTCTTTTCTCCATGCTTCACCCACATACTGCAAACAAGTGTCAACAGAAGTAAAACACCTAACGTAACATATTCTAGGGCTATCCAGTAATTATAAAATTAATTTTATTCGAGAAATTGTTGTGTTTGATTGAATATAACGTTAAAATTAAACTATACATCTTTGGGGTTAGCGAGAAATGGAACAGAGTATAGCCTGAGGATGCTTTGCATGTTAAGTGTTTTTCTGTTTATGAACAGGGTGGGCTTCGAGACTGGATTAACGAGCATTTGGCCCATGTTGATGAGGACGGTCTGCTTAAGGCCAGACATGAGTTTTAAATCGAAATATGCTTTTGATATAATGTTGGACTTTAGGAACAACAACCAATTAATTATTGATGTTTTTTGAGGCCACCACAACAGCTTATTGACCAACCAGCCTGTTTACTTTGGTCCAAGACAAGCAAACTTACCAGAGAACTGGTGTCCATCTCTCAATACTTGTTCGAGGACTTGGTCTAGTACGACTCCCCCTCCACCTCCATGAACACATACCCCCCATCATTCTCCTCTCACTAGGTTGCATAGACGACTTGCGCGTGTCCGGGCGGCCGTTGCCGCTGCCACCCGCCGTCAACGGTACCAGCTGGGGTCAAGTGACCACCTCAGAACGTTTCACCCGCGGATGCCCTGCCCCGGACGCCTGCCTCAATACCACCTGCGCCCCTCCCCTCTCCTGCACCAGCACCTGGGGACGTGCCACCTGCAGGTACCTAGTTCTGAGAGGTGGGAATTAAATCCGGATTATATTATATATATATATTATACACACATATATTTAAAATCCAATATTGTATCGTTAGAACTCAATATTGTGATGTAAAACTGAACGTTGTCGATTTAGAATACAATATTGGATCCATAAAACCAAATCATATATATACATATATATATATATATATATATATATATATATATATATATATATATATATATATATATATATATATATATATATATATATATATATATATATATATATATATATATATATATATATATATATATATATATATATATATATATATATATATATATACATATATAACTTTAGAACACTTTCCCACCAGGAGACTCGAACCCTAGCCAGCACAGAAGCCTTCCAGCAACTGGCATAACAGGTACGAATTAACCCGCTCCACCACCTGCTCAGACCCTTAAAAGAGATGGTAATTTCGGAGTATTTATATACCCCAAAGATCACCACCTCCCAAGAGCACTAGAGCAAGTGAGGGGTCATTTATACGTGAGGGGTCTTCCCATATTAACAGGGACTTGATGAAATAAACGTATAAATGACCCCTCACTTGCTCTAGTGCTCTTGGGAGGTGGTGATCTTTGGGGTATATAAATACTCCGAAATTACCATCTCTTTTAAGGGTCTGAGCAGGTGGTGGAGCGGGTTAAGGCGTACCTGTTATGCCAGTTGCTGGAAGGCTTCTGTGCTGGCTAGGGTTCGAGTCTCCTGGTGGGAAAGTGTTCTAAAGTTGTATACTTCACTCTCGTGTTTAGGAGAGTTGTGCCTTAAGCATAGACACTGTGTCTTCCCATATTAACAGGGACTTGATGAAATAAACGTATAAATGACCCCTCACTTGCTCTAGTGCTCTTGGGAGGTGGTGATCTTTGGGGTATATAAATACTCCGAAATTACCATCTCTTTAAGGGTCTGAGCAGGTGGTGGAGCGGGTTAAGGCGTACCTGTTATGCCAGTTGCTGGAAGGCTTCTGTGCTGGCTAGGGTTCGAGTCTCCTGGTGGGAAAGTGTTCTAAAGTTGTATACTTCACTCTCGTGTTTAGGAGAGTTGTGCCTTAAGCATAGACACTGTGTCTTCCCATATTAACAGGGACTTGATGAAATAAACGTATAAATGACCCCTCACTTGCTCTAGTGCTCTTGGGAGGTGGTGATCTTTGGGGTATATAAATACTCCGAAATTACCATCTCTTTTAAGGGTCTGAGCAGGTGGTGGAGCGGGTTAAGGCGTACCTGTTATGCCAGTTGCTGGAAGGCTTCTGTGCTGGCTAGGGTTCGAGTCTCCTGGTGGGAAAGTGTTCTAAAGTTGTATACTTCACTCTCGTGTTTAGGAGAGTTGTGCCTTAAGCATAGACACTGTGTCTTCCCATATTAACAGGGACTTGATGAAATAAACGTATAAATGACCCCTCACTTGCTCTAGTGCTCTTGGGAGGTGGTGATCTTTGGGGTATATAAATACTCCGAAATTACCATCTCTTTTAAGGGTCTGAGCAGGTGGTGGAGCGGGTTAAGGCGTACCTGTTATGCCAGTTGCTGGAAGGATTCTGTGCTGGCTAGGGTTCGAGTCTCCTGGTGGGAAAGTGTTCTAAAGTTGTATACTTCACTCTCGTGTTTAGGAGAGTTGTGCCTTAAGCATAGACACTGTGTCTTCCCATATTAACAGGGACTTGATGAAATAAACGTATAAATGACCCCTCACTTGCTCTAGTGCTCTTGGGAGGTGGTGATCTTTGGGGTATATAAATACTCCGAAATTACCATCTCTTTTAAGGGTCTGAGCAGGTGGTGGAGCGGGTTAAGGCGTACCTGTTATGCCAGTTGCTGGAAGGCTTCTGTGCTGGCTAGGGTTCGAGTCTCCTGGTGGGAAAGTGTTCTAAAGTTGTATACTTCACTCTCGTGTTTAGGAGAGTTGTGCCTTAAGCATAGACACTGTGTCTTCCCATATTAACAGGGACTTGATGAAATAAACGTATAAATGACCCCTCACTTGCTCTAGGGCTCTTGGGAGGTGGTGATCTTTGGGGTATATAAATACTCCGAAATTACCATCTCTTTTAAGGGTCTGAGCAGGTGGTGGAGCGGGTTAAGGCGTACCTGTTATGCCAGTTGCTGGAAGGCTTCTGTGCTGGCTAGGGTTCGAGTCTCCTGGTGGGAAAGTGTTCTAAAGTTGTATACTTCACTCTCGTGTTTAGGAGAGTTGTGCCTTAAGCATAGACACTGTGTCTTCCCATAATAACAGGGACTTGATGAAATAAACGTATAAATGACCCCTCACTTGCTCTAGTGCTCTTGGGAGGTGGTGATCTTTGGGGTATATAAATACTCCGAAATTACCATCTCTTTTAAGGGTCTGAGCAGGTGGTGGAGCGGGTTAAGGCGTACCTGTTATGCCAGTTGCTGGAAGGCTTCTGTGCTGGCTAGGGTTCGAGTCTCCTGGTGGGAAAGTGTTCTAAAGTTGTATACTTCACTCTCGTGTTTAGGAGAGTTGTGCCTTAAGCATAGACACTGTGTCTTCCCATATTAAGAGGGACTTGATGAAATAAACGTATAAATGACCCCTCACTTGCTCTAGTGCTCTTGGGAGGTGGTGATCTTTGGGGTATATAAATACTCCGAAATTACCATCTCTTTTAAGGGTCTGAGCAGGTGGTGGAGCGGGTTAAGGCGTACCTGTTATGCCAGTTGCTGGAAGGCTTCTGTGCTGGCTAGGGTTCGAGTCTCCTGGTGGGAAAGTGTTCTAAAGTTGTATACTTCACTCTCGTGTTTAGGAGAGTTGTGCCTTAATCAAAAATCACTTCTCGAAAATTCATTTTTATTTCTAGTCTGACGCGACACGGGCGCGTTTCGTAAAACTTATTACATTTTCAAAGACTTCACAAATACACAACTGATTAGAACTTGCGTTTCCCTGATTTATATCTACATTTGAGTGAGGTGGGAAGGGTGATGTGGCATTACATTTATATATGTGTTAATATATATACATATATATATATATATATATATATATATATATATATATATTATATATATATATATATAATATATATATACCAAAAGAATAGGGTGGTAGGAGAAGAAAATATCAAAGTGTTCAGTGAGGATCCACAAGGTCTTCTCTGAGTACTCTTTATTTTCTTCTCCGAGGCTATGGGTCCCTACACTTGCATCAGAGGTGGTACCCCTTCTAGGTATAAATATATATATATATATATATATATATATATATATATATATATATATATATATATATTATATATATATATATATATATATATATATATTTTATATGATACAATAAAGGAGCCCAAAATAAAGAAGAAAAAAATCCCAATCGAAACAGAGTGCTGTGCAATATTTAATTTTGCTGAAGTTATTAACCGCTTTATTGATTTATAAATCCAAAATTACCAATTATCGTAAACATTTAAAAAATTCAACTGACATGTATAATTATATAATTTAAGAGATCTGTTTATAAAAAAGAGGGTTACAATTATTTAAACAAAATCATCTTATCAATTACTTTAGGAGAGATTCTTTCCATTTAACAAGATTGTGATAAAACGTTTCCCATGGAAGTCTGGCTGGGACACATGTTGCCAACTTTCTTCTCCTCAAACGTTCATCCTCTAACAGCTACAGGCACTCAGCGGCACTCAGCGGCACTCTGTCATCTGCAGCAGCCCCCCCCCCACCTAGTTGAGTACCTGAACCCCGAGCTAAACGTTCGTTTAACCCTTCCCCGTATTCAACGACACCTATACTTTTACTATTGTCACCCGTGACTATACCGAGAACGTTCGTTACCATATGCTGCCGGCTAAAGTTACCATATACCGCCGGCTAAAGTTACCATATACCGCCGGCTAAAGTTACCATATACTGCCGGCTAAAGTTACCATATACTGCCGGCTAAAGTTACCATATACCGCCGGCTAAAGTTACCATATACCGCCGGCTAAAGTTACCATATACCGCTGGCTAAAGTTACCATATACCGCTGGCTAAAGTTACCATATACCGCTGGCTAAAGTTACCATATACGCTGGCTAAAGTTACCATATACCGCTGGCTAAAGTTACCATATACGCTGGCCTAAAGTTACCATATACCGCCGGCTAAAGTTACCATATACCGCTGGCTAAAGTTACCATATACCGCTGGCTAAAGTTACCATATACCGCTGGCTAAAGTTACCATATACCGCTGGCTAAAGTTACCATATACCGCTGGCTAAAGTTACCATATACCACAACATAGCTGTGCGTCTGCCCCTAGGAACCTTGGGATCCTACGGCCAGATTCACGAAGCAGTTACGCAAGCACTTACGAACCTTTTCTCAATCTTTGCCGGCTTTGTTTACAAATATTAAACAGGTAATGAGCTCCGAAACACCAGGAGGCTGTTTATAACAATAAAAACAGTTAATTGGAAAGTTTTCATACTTGTAAACTGTTTAATAAATATAACCAAAGCCGTCAAAGTTTGAGGAAAGCTGTATACGTTCGTAAGTAATTCTGTAACTGCTTCGTGAATCTGGCCCCTGGAAGAGGGTTGATGTGTTAAAAGAGCGCCTGTCTCCAGTTACTCTACACTGCGGGCTCCCGTTGCGATACACAAAGGGCTTCCGTTACCAGACACTGAGGGCTTCCGTTATCAGACACCGACGGGCTTCCGTTACCAGACTCCGAGGGGCTTCCGTTACCAGACACCGAGGGGCTTTCGTTACCGTAGAGCTCGGTCTCCAGCCATAGTTCTGAGGGACAGGGACGCCTCACCAGAATAGTGATTTACGCGTTATAATTCGCCCCAGTCAGAAACATTCATATAATCGTGCCGGCCAGTTTAATGGACCAGCACACAACTCGGGAGGAATGAACGAGACCAGTTTGGCATAATGTCTTAAGTTGGAGGGCGATTTCCTCTTGACGGACACAAGTATACGAACATTCCTTTGCGTTAACTGGCAAAAGATCTTTTTTAAAATTAACAACGTCCCAAAAGAGGAATATGTAATTACGTGTTTTAATAATATCTTTTTTTTCTTCTTTAACGTTTATCATCGTCGTTACTCAATTATTGTTTTGTGGCGATGAAGATGATTTCCTTTCAGTCCTTATGTTTTAGAGATTGCAGACGGTAGGCTGTAAACTGTTGAAAGACTGTAGAGTGTATGGAAGACAATACAGACTATTAGACAATTGTAGAGCTTTTGAAAACTACTGGATAACAAGAGAAAAGTATAGTTGGTATAGTCTCCTGGTAACGAAGGCAACGGGGGCTAGGAGGCCACGAGGGCTAGGAGGCAACGGGGGGCTAGGAGGCGACAGGCCAAGCAAACGACAACTAACACTTGTCGATAACATAAATGTTCCAGGTAATGGTCCTGTACAGGACCTGGTGTTGACAGCTATAGTGGCCGACGCTACAGTGCTGAGAGTTACATACTAACACCACATATTATATTAACACTACCGTGGCAGCTCCTGTACAATGTAATGGCAGCTACCGTGATGAGAATTACATGTGGAGGTCGCTATACGGTATTGAAGATTTTCCATCTTAGTTGTGGTCTTGGAGAGAGAGAGAGACAAGTGTAAACCCCAGAGAAAAATCTTGAGTGTAATATAGAGTTTCGTCTTATAGTTGCGGGGCCGGAGGGCAGCTGGTGGACGATACTGTTTGTGAAGACGTGGACGAGTGCTTGTGGCGGCCCTGTCTCAACGGCGGCTCCTGCTACAACCTGCGCCCCGGTTACCTGTGCGTGTGCGGCCCGGGCCGCACTGGGGATAATTGCGAGTGGGGTGGACTGTCCCCAGACAGTCACCCATTCACAGCTCCAGTGGCCATAGCCGCCCTCACGCTCTCTCGCTTCTTACTCGGTAAGTGCTACGGGCTCACCATAGCCCGTGCTACTTGGAACTTTTGGTTCCGGGTAGCGAATCTTAAACAACATACATACTTGCTTTTATATTATTATTTTTCCCCCCCCGCGGCGAATAACTTGTGTATTAAAGGTGTTTTTTGCCATGTTTATATTTATTTTATTCTATAGTGACATTGGAGATGTCAATTTCAAATATTTGTCGTCGTTTAGTAATTCTCAGCTATAGGATATAATTATTTTTATTCTTGTTTTAAAAAATAAAGAAGTTTTTGTTTACTAATTTAATTGCAAACATAGCCAGAATTCTCATCTTTCTAGGGAAACACACATAAAATTATTACAAAAAATTGTTACTTCGCTTACCATTCTTATATCCTGAGATTCTGGCATCACAACGAAAGATTCTTATACCATAAGATTCTTACTACGATAAGATTCTTGGTTATCCTGCCAGTGGTGGTGGGCGTCGTCTTCTCCATCCGGCTCCACCGGAAGTGGCTGGGGCGGGCGCTGGCAGGGCGGCAGGTTGGTGACGTGGGCGGCCGGGGCGGTGGGGGCGGCGAGGAAGGGACCATAATAGCCGTGAAGGGCGGCATGGAGGAAGACAGCGGAAAGCCTCAGGCTCAAGGAAGACCCCGACGACACATTTCTCAACTGCCTCAAGTACAACCATCTTCAAGCTCACCCTCCAACCCAGAGGAAAGGTAGTGGTTGTGTGTGTACTCACCTATATGTACTCACCTATATGTGCTTGCAGGATCGAGCATTGACTCTTGGATCCCGCCTTTCTAGCTATCGGTTGTTTAAGCAATGACTCCTGTCCCATTTCCCTATCTACCTAGTTTTAAAAGTATGAATAGTATTTGCTTCCACAACCTGTTCCCCAAGTGCATTCCATTTTTCTACTACTCTCACGCTAAAAGAAAACTTCCTAACATCTCTGTGACTCATCTGAGTTTCCAGTTTCCACCCATGTCCCCTCGTTCTGTTATTATTACGTGTGAACATTCATCTATTTCCACTTTGTCAATTCCCCTGAGTATTTTATATGTCCCTATCATATCTCCTCTCTCCCTTCTTTTCTCTAGTGTCGTAAGGTTCAGTTCCTTCAGCCGCTCTTCATATCCCATCCCTCGTAACTCTGGAACAAGCCTCGTCGCAAACCTCTGAACCTTCTCCAGTTTCTTTATGTGTTTCTTCAGGTGGGGGCTCCATGATGGCGCGGCATACTCTAAGACGGGTCTCACGTAGGCAGTGTAAAGCGCCCTAAAAGCTTCCTCATTTAGGTTTCTGAATGAAGTTCTAATTTTCGCCAGTGTAGAGTACGCTGCTGTCGTTATCCTATTTATATGTGCCTCAGGAGTTAGATTAGGTGTCACATCCACTCCCAGGTCTCTTTCTCGAATCGTTACAGGTAGGCTGTTCCCCTTCATTGTGTACTGTCCCTTTGGTCTCCTGTCACCTGATCCCATTTCCATAACTTTACATATACTGGTGTTAAACTCCAGTAGCCATTTCCCTGACCCTGTGTGTGTGTGTGTGTATGTGTGTGTGTGTGTGTCTGTGTGTGTGTGTGTGTGTGTGTATGTGTGTGTGTGTGTGTGTGTGTGTGTGTGTGTGTGTGTGTGTGTGTGTGTGTGTGTGTGTGTGTGTGTGTGTGTGTGTGTGTGTATGCTTTATTATGCAATTTAAGTTATAAATACTGCTTAACGAGACGTGAATCATAACGTTTGTTGCACAAAACCTTAACAACCTCTCTAGAATTGTATTTGAATATTTGTTCGTAGCCATTTGCAACAAACGAAGACACCCATCTTGAGGTTCTCTTGAGATGATTTCGGGGCTTAGCGTCCCCACGGCCCGGTCCTCGACGCAACGGGGGCTAGGAGGCGACAGGCCAAGCAACGACAACTAACACTTGTCGATAACATAAATGTTCCAGTAATGTTCCTGTACAGGACCTGGTGTTGACAGCTATAGTGGCCGCTACAGTGCTGAGAGTTACATACTAACACCACATATTATATTAACACTACCGTGGCAGCTCCTGTACAATGTAATGGCAGCTACCGTGCTGAGAATTACATGTGGAGGTCGCTATACGGTATTGAAGATTTCCCATCTTAGTTGTGGTCTTGGAGAGAGAGAGAGACAAGTGTTAACCCCAGAGAACATCTTGAGTGTAATATAGAGTTTCCGTCTTATAGTTGCGGGGCCGGAGGGCAGCTGGTGGACGATACCGTTTGTGAAGACGTGGACGAGTGCTTGTGGCGGCCCTGTCTCCACGGCGGCTCCTGCTACAACCTGCGGCCCGGTTACCTGTGCGTGTGCGGCCCGGGCCGCACTGGGGATAATTGCGAGTGGGGTGGACTGTCCCCAGACAGTCACCCATTCACAGCTCCAGTGGCCATAGCCGCCCTCACGCTCTCTCTCTTCTTACTCGGTAAGTGCTACGGGCTCACCATAGCCCGTGCTACTTGGAACTTTTTGTTCCGGGTAGCGAATCTTAAACAACATACATACTTGCTTTTATTATTATTTTTTCTCCCCCCGCGGCGAATAACTTGTTTATTAAAGGTGTTTTTTGCCATGTTTATATTTATTTTATTCTATAGTGACATTGGAGATGTCAATTTCAAATATTTGTCGTCGTTTAGTAATTCTCAGCTATAGGATATAATTATTTTTATTCTTGTTATAAAAAATAAAGAAGTTTTTTGTTTACTAATTTAATTGCAACATATCCAGAATTCTCATCTTTCTAGGGACACACACATAAAATTATTACAAAAAATTGTTACTCGCTTACCATTCTTATATCCTGAGATTTCTGGCATCAAAAGATTCTTAATACCATAAGATTCTTACTACGATAAGATTCTTGGTTATCCTGCCAGTGGTGGTGGGCGTCGTCTTCTCCATCCGGCTCCACCGGCAGTGGCTAGGGCGGGCGCTGGCAGGACGGCAGGTTGGTGACGTGGGCGGCGTGGGCGGTGTGGGCGGCGAGGAAGGGACCATAATAGCCGTGAAGGGCGGCATGGAGGAAGACAGCGGAAGCATCAGGCTCAAGGAAGACCCCGACGACACATTTCTCAACTGCCTCAAGTACAACCATCTTCAAGCTCACCCTCCAACCCAGAGGAAAGGTAGTGGTTGTGTGTGTGTGTGTGTGTGTGTGTGTGTGTGTGTGTGTGTGTGTGTGTGTGTGTGTGTGTGTGTGTGTGTGTGTGTGTGTGGGCGTTTGTGTGTACTCACCTAATTGTGCTTGCAGGTGTTGAGCTCTGGCTCTTTGGTCCCGCCTCTCAACTGTGAATAAACTGATGTACAGATTCCTGAGCCTACTGGGCTCTATCATATGTTCATTTGAAACTGTATGCAGTCAGCCTCCACCACATCACTGCCTAATGTGTGTGTGTGTGTGTGTGTGTGTGTGTGTGTGTGTGTGTGTGTGTGTGTGTGTGTGTGTGTGTGTGTGTGTGTGTGTGTGTGTGTGTGTGTGTGCTTTATTATGTAATTTATGTTATAATTACTGCTTAACGAGACGTGAATCATAACTTTTGTTGCACAAAACCTTAACAACCTCTCTAGAATTGTATTTGAATATTTGTTCGTAGCCATTTGCAACAAACGAAGACACCCATCTTGAGGTTATCTTGAGATGATTTCGGGGCTTAGCGTCCCCACGGCCCGGTCCTCGACCAGGCCTCCTTTTTGTTACCACTACCCCCCCCCCCCCAGGAAGCAGCCCGTAGCAGCTGTCTAACTCCCAGGTACCTATTTACTGCTAGGAAATAGAGGCATGGGCCAAGATGATTTTAAAATCTTTCCCTGCAACACTAGTTATCAGGATTTCAACGTCGAAACCCGCGAGTTGAACATTTCGGAAGATATCTTGGAATCGGTTTGTTAGATGAAAAGGTTCTAAGAGAGAGAGAAATAGAAGTGTAGAATGTTTCCATCACAGTGAGAACAATTGCTTCAACAACCCGAAAGTGAGAAGCCTTTTATATTAAACCTAAAACCCGAGCTCAGCCACTCCTTACATCTTAAGATTATTTGGTAGTTATGCTGGTCTAAATAACACTACAAATTGAAACGGCTTTGAAGTAATTATATACGAAATAATCCCTTGCATTAACATTATCTATTTAAACCATGTCCACCCACCCCCCACCACCAGTACCTTTCACTACACTCCCTCCATTTCCATCCACCTGGGCTGTATGGGTCTCGAACCGTGGAACAGTTATTTATACACCGAACCGTTATAACCGTTAACGGTGTATAACCGTTATTTATAAACCGAACCGTTATAACCGTTACTTATACACCCTCCCTCCCCTTGTTAACCCCCAGCAGAAGAGAGCCCGGCTCGTCCTGAGAGCAGCAGCCACCACACCCTCGTGAAGGAGCCGTCAGCAGCTGATGTCTCCGCCAGGGTGCGGGCCGCAGACGCCGCCCCAGAGCCCCTCCTGCCCCAGGACGACCTCAGAGCCTACGCCTACGAGGGCGACGGGTCGTCCGCGGGGTCACTCAGCTCGGCCATATCAGGTCAAAGGCGCCTTGTGCCTCACCTCCTTTCCTGTCTCCTAGTTTATATTTTGCTCTCTGTATAATCCTTATATCCCGACCTCCCTTCCAAGTGATATATAGTCGTAATGGCTTAGTGCTTTCTCCTGATAGTTCTCTTTACTTCTCTGTATAATCCTTGTTTACATCCGGTTCTTCGTAGTTAATTGCCCCTAAAGCATCATTTTTATTAATTATCGTCGTTTCTCCTTTAGATTTATACTGCACTATTTTTTTCAGTATTAGGAAATCATTTACATTAACATTGCAAACAGGTTTTTCTATATCAATTCCGTTGTAACGTTGCCAAAGTAGTTTTATTTATATTCGAACATCTCTCATTTGTTTTTTTTACTGATAACATAATACATGATATGTTAGCGAGCTTTCGGCTGACTGTGGCACGCACGGCATCTCACCCGACAGGTCTGAAAGCTGAGTTGGACGACGATGGCAACATGAAGCCGCTGGTGTCGGAGTTCCTGGAAGTGATGGACTTGCTCAGGAACTTACCCGAGGCCTCAAAGTCCCCCTCGCTCCTCACCAAACTTGACAGGAAGTCGGGTCTTCAAGGCAGCGGCACCCCTGGTGGTCCGGACGTGCCGCCCACGCCACGGAGCAGCATCAAGTCATCCACGCCCACGGCGTGTGGGGCCTCACCCGCCCACAGAAGAGAGACACGACACACGCCCCCGAGACACGCCTCTTCACCTCGTAGTAAAGAGGAACTCTCCACAGCCTGTTGATCGGTTACTGGCGCGGCGGCCTCCGTCTGAACCCACAAACTCAGGGAAACAAAAACAAAAAAATGAGCTATAAATATCACCGCTATCGAACCAAATCCCGAAGAGGGGGGGAGGGGTAGGGGAAATAATAGTAAATTGTTCTAGAAATGGTCTTCGGGCGAGTCTTTGAGTGCTCAGGACATTGCTAAGAGTTGATGAAGGGGGATTGAGTTCTCGAGTGGAAGAGTGTCAAGTGTTGATGCCTATGAGTGACATTGTAATTACACTTGTACACCTTGTATAGCATTTACTGTTTAAGGTAGAATGTAAACCATTATTTCTAGCATTTGTTGATAAATAAAACCCGCACTTTGTGTAGTTGACAGTGAAGCCACTGGAGAGTCTGGTGACGTATCATCCCCTTGTATGTCATGTACATATATTTTCTATTACAAGAATTCTTCAAAATCGCTATTAGTTTTTATATGGACTGGAATAGAAATAAGTTCACCATTGCTCACTCTATATATATATATATATATATATATATATATATATATATATATATATATATATATATATATATATATATATATAATATATATATATATATATATATATGTATATATATATACATAATAATATATATATAACATCAGATATTAAGACATTGTTTTATCAGAGCTCGGTGTCTGGATGCTGAGGATGATGAAATGACAATATACACCCACCGTAGCAGCTGAGGATGGATGATGAACTCGGAAGTCATGATAAATATGAAAGATGATATCACTCGCACCAATAACCGATGGAGTTGAAGTAACGGTTGTGGTGGCGGTGGTGTCACGTCCTGTGATCCAGCATCCGAGAGGATCCTAAAGATATCTAAGACAGCATTTCGATCATCTCTAAAAACTCGGATTTACGTCAGAGATCCCGCGATTGTCATAAGTCCGAAATATGAGTGTCAAGAGACGGGGGACAAGCGTTCCAACCCGACATAACAGGGGGATCAGTTCATAACGACCAACGGAAACAGCGAATCAGCTTGATAAACAGGGAGATCAACTTAAAAAGAAACAATTTGTTAAACGGGTGATCAACTTAAAAAAAAAAATTGTTAAACTGGTGATCAATTTTTTTTAAAATTGTTAAACAGGTGATCAACCCAAATTCAACCTGTCAAAATGTGTTCAATTCTAAATAACCTGTCAAAACAGGTGATCAACCCAAAACAACCCACCGAAAAAAAACATGCGTCCCCTTGGTTGATCCTGCAGACCGACAGCAGCAATGAGGAATATAAAGCACGTCTTTAATCACCTTTATTATGCGAGATATCCGAGTGTGTAACTGAACGCTTGTCCCGTCACTCAAATGAGATTTTAACAGATTAATTTTTGTGTGTGTGCTATATTGGCAAGGCAAATAGAGTGCCCTTAGATATTTTATACATTTATAGAATATCTATATTAAATGTAATTAAGTTTTAAGTGAGTTTTATTGTTCCTTTTCTTAGTTAATGATTGACAGTTAAATATTGATTTAATGCGGCATACCTCTTTTCACCCACAAAGTCCCTCTTCCTTTATCTTTGCCCCCAACCCCTCTTTCCTACCCCGTTCTTCCTCCGTAGTTCGTCTCCCCTGCCCATTTTAGCGGGTCTGTCGTCTCCTCTGCCCATTCTAGAGACTCTGTCGTCTCCTCTGCCCATTCTAGAGACTCTGTCGTCTCCTCTGCCCATTCTAGAGACTCTGTCGTCTGTCCTGCCCATTCTAGCGACTCTGTCGTCTCCCCTGCCCATTCTAGCAACTCTGTCGTCTCCTCTGCCCATTCTAGCGACTCTGTCGTCTCCCCTGCCCATTCTAGCGACTCTGTCGTCTCCCCTGCCCATTCTAGAGACTGTCGTCTCCTCTGCCCATTCTAGAGACTCTGTCGTCTGTCCTGCGCATTCTAGCGACTCTGTCGTCTCCTCTGCCCATTCTAGCGACTCTGTCGTCTCCTCTGCTCATTCTAGCGACTCTGTCGTCTCCTCTGCTCATTCTAGCGACCCTGTCGTCTCCTCTGCCCAATCTAGCAACTCTGTCGTCTCCTCTGCCCATTCTAGTGACTCTGTCGTCTCCTCTGCCCTATCTAGCGACTCTGTCGTCTCCTCTGCCCATTCTAGCAACTCTGTCGTCTCCTCTGCCCATTCTAGCGACTCTGTCGTCTCCTCTGCCCATTCTAGCAACTCTGTCGTCTCCGCTGCCCATTCTAGCGACTCTGTCGTCCTCTCAACCCTGCTCATCTGTCGTACATTCCAACTCTTCTTTCCACCTTCTTCCTTCCTCACTCCAGTCCCGGAAGTTTTAGGTCGACTAGTCACGAGGCAGCCCAAGTTGGGACACAGCCATCAATCAATGCCGTCCTCCGCAGGAACTTGCACAGAAGAGTTTCAACTAATGACCATTAGGTATTTAAACGCACTTCTATTTTTTGTTAATTCACTGGAAAGCCTTTCACATTAAAAGCTCCTTTAGGACCTTTTACTACCGCATCTAAACACAATAAAAGGAAAAGTTCTGCCGAGAAGTAGATCCAGGAGGCAAATTAACGAGCAACGTCCTCACAGTTACTTTGATTGGCAGACCAGGGACAAGATTTTTGTTCTCAAGGAAGTCACAAGTAATGGCAAAGTGGCTGTTTGTCATTACCTACAGCAGTCCCTCCTGTGAAGCCAGCTTGTGCCGGAAAAACCGACCCTATTGACTAATATTTAATTCAATAAGCAGAGAATATTGCTGCTGTTTTGTACTTACAAATTAACCCAAGAAATGGTGCTTTAAATTATTCATAGAAAACGTGGCTCCAGTGGACTTTTCTCCGGGGAAAAAAACGGGGATATCATTGCCATGTAGCCATTAAATTCACCATCAAATAATAATGGGAATTCTTCTTAAAACATCAGTCTCTGGACTGTAAATACCATAAAAACATTTCCCTTGAACCAACTTAATTATCAGTACCAAAATAGAGTCAATATAAACCCTCTTTCCACTTCTTGATAAAATGCATTTGGAGAACACCGGAGTGGGGAGGGAGAGAAGGGTGTAGCCATTTTCTCCCTGGACAGTTAAAAGGTGTCGTGTTGAACTCTCGGATACTTAAGGAACAGCAAGTTATTGTCGAAGAATTTATCAGCACAAACTGACACCATCGTTACCAGGAGAGGCAATGTATCCGTACAGTATTTATCATATTATAGGAGCTTTTATGTATTATGTATTCACTGATATGGTTAGGCCGCCTGAGAACACCCAAAATTTGGTAAGTCTCATATAAAAATATATTAATAATTCTGTTATACAATATCTATTATTAGGATGTTATTTGCATTAGTTATGATGTATACTTATGGCAGGTAATCCGTGACAACCTAAAGAATAATTAGTAACAATTAACATGTGATGTCACAAGTAACATGTGATGATAGTCTCACTCACGAGGAGTATTGGTTCGCTTGTTCATCCGTGTTTATATCTGGTTGTCCAGGCCATTATCAACTATACAGATAAGCTGTACTGGTTTTAATTTTAGTTACTAATCATTTGAAGTCTTTATCACCTAGTAAGTGTGTAGTGAATGTCAACCAATCGAAAATTTCGATTGATAGACAATCAATCAGAATGAGTATAATAATTATGTGTTACTTTGGTGCTTGGTGGTGTGCCGGAGTAGTTTTCCTCTGATTGACCATAATTAAGCTTTCTCTGAGAATGGTCACACACAATTATAGTCAATCATTTTAATGCAGTTATCGATAAGAGCTTCTTGCTGCAGCTCATTATATATATATATATATATATATATATATATATATATATATATATATATATATAATATATATATTTTATATATATATATATATATGTCGTACCTAGTAGCCAGAACGCACTTCTCAGCCTACTATGCAAGACCAAATTTGCCTAATAAGCCAAGTTTTCCTGAATTAATATATTTTCTCTAATTTTTTTCTTATGAAATGATAAAGCTAACCATTTCATTATGTATGAGGTCAATTTTTTTTTTATTGGAGTTAAAATTAACGTAGATATATGACCGATTCTAACCAACCCTACCTAACCTAACCTAACCTATCTTTTATAGGTTAGTGATTAGGGTTAGGTAGCCGAAAAAGTTAGGTTTAGGTTAGGTTAGGTAGTCGAAAAATAATTAATTCATGAAAACTTGGCCTATTAGGCAAATTTGGCCTGGCATAGTAGGCTGAGAAGTGCATTCTGGCTACTAGGTACGACATATATATATATTATATATTATATATATATATATATATATATATATATATATATATATATATATATATATATATATATATATATAAGATATACACAAGAGTTTTTTACATTCTTGTACAGCCACTAGTACGCGTAGAGTTTCGGGGCAATTCCTTAATAATCCTATGGTCCCTGCAATACGACCCCCACGAAGAATCGCTATTACAACCAAGTACCCATTTTACTGTTTAAAACAG